ATTCGACTCTCGAAATATATTAATTCATTATAAAACGTATACGTATTAGTATTTTTCACATATTAAAATAATTAGAATAAATTAAATTAATTATTAAAAAACTAAAAATTAATTAAACGACTTAGACTTAGATGATAATAATAATGAAACATTTATTAAAAAATAATTATAATAGGTCAGGTTAATATTTTATTTATTTATTTATTTATAACATCATAAAATTCTGTCCTTTCCGAAATACGCGAACGCTACGAAAAGATAAATCTCGTACATGCCGCCGGACGAGTTCATGAGCATGAGACGCTCTTATCTTGGGAACGTATTAATAGTTACTGCATTGACCACTACTACGATATGGCGCTGAAATCAGTGAGAAATGCTGGTCTCTCCTTCATCCAGACCTTTGGCGATCTGTCTATTAATCTGTGGCGAAAATATTGAATGAATCTTATTAAATTTAGGATATTCTTAATCAGTAAGCTCATTTGTAGTCCTCTAAAGAGCTATTTTATGAAAAAAAGATAAAAATAAAAATTTTTAATAAACTTGGGGGAATGCACAGTTAGGAACGGGTAAGGTTGGGTTAGCCGCGAGTCCGTATTTTATTTATTATAAATTTTTAAGAGCGAAAATGTAAAATCCGGCCTTTTAGAGGACTGCTTTATTATATAAAGAATATATTAAAAAAAAATTCACGAAGTTATGTCACTTATTTTATGAAATATCTGGACGATAAGATTCTCACTAGATTCATAAGGAGCAGGGGAAATTTCTGTGGTAACATGCTGACTGCTTGACAAGGAGAGAGCATCATTCCATCTTTGTCTCTCTTACATCGCATATGTAGTAGCGTCCATGTAGGTACAAAACCTAATACGTGAGCACACGGATGCAAATATTGAGAGATAATGTCAGCAAAAAGGCTATCATATTATTTTTATTTTTTTGTATATGTATGCATATGTAAATAAAGAACAAAAATAAAAACTATTTTAAATAATAAGAATCTATTTGTGTGTGTGTGTGTGTAATTAAAAATTAATAAAAAAATTAAAAAATCAATTTATATACCATATATTTTTTTTATATCATATAAAAAAATCTTAGAAATGTACTTAAATTTTTCGTAGATCCTCGATTTTTTTCATTGCTTCTAAACATTCAGCTAAAAGAGCAGTTGAGACTATTCGAATAAAAAATATTTCATCTTATTTTTTGCAAATAATATAATATATTTTTTATTTAGGAGTCCAAAAATATATGTTACGCATAAGTTATTTATAATTTTCGTTCAAATTAAGAGAATATTGTATTGAATATATTGTAATGCATATACACATTAATTTTCATTAATTTACTTGTTTAACAAAAACATGGTTTTTTGATAATAATTTAAAATTATTTCTGCTCAGTGATTTTTAAATAGCCGCAGTATATTGACGGTGCAAAGGTAGCATAATCAATTGTTTTTTAAATGAAAACTGGAATGAAGGAATTGATTAAAGCTGTTTTAATTTGTAGATTTAAAATTTAAATTTTAAGTTAAAATTCTTAAAAGAAATTATGGGACGAGAAGACCCTATTAAATTAATATAATTTTTTTATTTAAGGAAATAAATTTTATTTTAATGATTATATTTTATTGGGAGGATAATTAAATAAAATGAACTTTAATTTAAAGATAATTTTAACATTAATTAATGAAATTTTTATAAAGGATTGATTATTAAATTAAGAAAATTTTTTTTTTATAATAATTATAAAAATTAATTACCTTAGGGATAATAGCGTAATATTTTTAGAAAGATCATATTAATAAAAATGATTGCGACCTCGATGTTGAATTAAAATAAAAATTAAATAAAGAAGTTTAATATTTTAGTCTGTTCGACTAATAAAATTTTACATGATTTGAGTTCAGATCGGTGTAAGCCAGATCGGTTTCTATCTATAATAAAATTAAGAAAATTTTGTACAAAAGGACTTTTTTTTAAATTATATTTTTTTTAATGAATAAATTTAATTGATCAAATATATATAAATAAATAAAATTACTTTGGCAAAATTTAAGTGTATTAAATTTAGAATTTTAATGATGTATAATAGAAAAAAGTTATACAAGTAATAATTTGTCAAAATTTAAGATTATATTTTTATAGTGCGTTAAATATATTAAGATTGTTAATTTTGTTATTAATTATATTAGTTGGGGTAGCTTTTTTAACTTTATTGGAACGAAAAATTTTAAGATATGTACAAATTCGTAAAGAACCTAATAAGGTGGGATTTATAGGATTATTTCAATCTTTTAGTGATGCTATTAAATTACTTAATAAAGAATTATTTTATGTATATAAATCTAATTATAATTTTTTTATTTATGTCCTATAATTAGATTTGTTTTAATAATAATATGATTAGTATTTCCTTACATTACTAATATTTATTTTTTAAATTATTCTATTTTATTAATAATTGTTTTTATAACTATTAGAGGGTATGTTATAATTTTTATGGGATGATCAGCTAATTCGATTTATTCAATAATAGGAGCAATACGATCAGTTTCACAAATATTATCATATGAAGTAAGATTTATTTTAATTATTTTAGTTATTATATTAATAAGAGAGAGATATTCTTTTTTTGATTTTATTAATTATCAATTTTATTTATGATATATAGTAGTTTTATATCCTTTGTTTATTATAGTGTTTATTAGGATTTTAGCTGAATTAAATCGAAGTCCTATAGATTTTATCGAAAGTGAGTCAGATGATTTAATATTGAATATTTTAGGGGTGGGTTTACATTAATTTTTTTATCTGAATATGGAATAATTATTTTTTTAGATTAATTAGAATTTATATATTTAGGAATTTATTAAAATATTCAATAATTTTAACTTTTATTTTAATTAATATTTTATGTAGAATAGTAATTTTTATACATGGAATACTTCCTCGAATACAATATGATAAATTAATATATTTATGTTGGAAAATTATTTTACCAATAATTTTGGTTTATATTTTATTAATTTTTGATTTAAATTTATATTATTAATAATAATTTAGTAAAAAAAAATAAATGTTTAAAAGTTAATAGAAAATTAAAATTTCTTTAATATGTTTTCAAAACATAAACTTAAATTCAAGATTATTAACTTAATTTAATAGTAATTTATAAAAAATTTAAATATTAAATATAATTATTTTTAATATTTTAAATTTATTTATAATAATAAATTTTAAAATATTTATTTAAAAATAATTAAATCTCAAATTTTTATTAGGAAAGGTAATAAGATAAAATAAAGAAAGTAACATAATGATAAAATTTGTCTAATAATGATAAAAGGTTGAGCTCCTGCTCATGTTAATAGAATAAAAATATTAATGAAAATTCAAAATAAATATTGATTTAAAGGATAAAATGATAATGAATTAAATTTTATAGAAATTAGAGGTAAAAAATATAAGATAATAATTGATGATAATAATGCAATTACACCTCCTAATTTGTTAGGGATAGATCGGAGGATAGCATAAACATATAGAAAATATCATTCAGGTTGAATATGAATTAAAAATGTATTTTATAAATAAATGAAATATTATATATATATAATATATATATATAAGTGTATATATATATATATATATATATATATATATATACAGATATGAAAGAACTTACGAGTAACGTATGATGGCTCAATGCAAGAATATTTAATCACGTAAAAAACTTGAGTTCAAATATATCAATATCAATTTTTTTATAATATATTAGAATATAGAAAATCATAGAAATATATTTTTTATATAGGCGATAAACTTAAAAATTTGATATTGAAAATATTTTAATCATTTTACAACTACACACACTATAAATATATAAATGCAAAATACTTCCGTAAATAAATTTCAATAAATCAATTGCACACATGCACACAGCTGGTATGTAGATTTTTATTAAATTTATTTTCTGAATTATTTTACACTTATATATATGTAGTAAAAATATTTTCAATATATTAAAAAATTTTTAAATCGCCGAAATATATTTTATCATTTTTCTATATTCCATATATATATATATATATATATTGTATTATAAAAAAATTGATATTGATATATTTGAACTCTAATTTACTGGATGATATACTGAACATCCTTGCATTGATTATATATTACTCAACGGTACGTTCTTTCACGTTATAAGTTATTGGAGCAAATTATACAATAGCATCAATAATCAAAAAGAAATCAAGAATAATCAACATATCCCTTATATAATATATATATATATATATATATATATATATATATATATATATATATATACGCACATATGTGCATAAGGATATATAAAATTTATAAAAAGTAGGTACTTATTAGCCTTGCTACGCTACTGCCTTCTGCTACGGAAGGCCAGAAAGCATTTTCAGGCGGCATCTCGCGTATACCGGCACGGTAGAGGAACAAGGAGAACACGTGATTATCGGTCCTTGTCTCTCTACGGTGCGTCCGCGTGAGCAATGCAATGGTGTATGTACGTGTACAGACATGCACCACTACATAAAACCCGAGAATTGGATTCTCGGCGTTGGCAACACTGAAATCGGAGTTTCGCGTTGTCACCGCGCGAGGTCTCCAACATCAATTCGGAGTTTGGCCGACCGACCTGTCGATCCTTAAAATCCCATCATATTTTTATCACACCAGCCTATGAATGACAAAAGATAAGAGTAATAAAAATTTTTCGACGATGTGAAACTATATATAATTGCTTTCCATTTACATCAAAACTCAGCTAAATCTCACTTCTGTCTTTCTTTAACATGGATGTTGAAGAAAGACAGAAGTGAGATTTATCCCAGTTTTGATATAAATGAAAAGCAACTTATGAAACGTCAAAACTACACCGCGTCCGATTTGAATTTTAGCGCCTTTGCGACGCGTCACACGACGCGGCCTAGTGGAAAAGTGACGTCACCGCCGTCACTGCCACCGCCTGATCGCCACCGTCATCGCCGCCGTCGTCGTCGTCGTCGTCGCCGTCGACAGAGTAACGAGAGAGCTGGTCTTCCCTGCGTTCCACGTCGTCCGGTGTCGTTTTGGTTCTCGCGTAGGTGATCGCGAATCATCCCGAATTCTTCGCCTGCAGGAGAATTGGCGGCGCGAGACGAAGAAAGACAGAGAACGCGTACGTGCGAAGAAGCACACGCTCCGGCTTGTGAAGGCTCGTTGGCGGCTCTCTTGGGATCTCCGGCCCTTCTTCCTGCTCTTCGAACTTCCTGCTCTTCGAACTTCCGGCTCTTCCGACCCGGCGCAAACATGAATGAGGAGTACGACGCGATCGTCCTCGGCACCGGCCTCAAGGAGTGCATCCTCTCGGGCATGCTTTCCGTCAGCGGCAAACGGGTGCTGCACATCGACCGCAACAAGTATTACGGCGGCGAATCGGCCTCCATCACGCCCCTCGAGGACCTCTTCGGGTAAGTGTTCGCGTCCTGCCCTTCATCTTCGTGTTTTCCTCGCTTCCTTTATTTCGCCGTATTCTGTTGTCTTTCAAACATGAAGGACGTCCGGAACGTCGGACAGACACCTGCGAGACGTCCTCATCATCCTTACGTTTTCTTTCTAGCAATTTACATGTCAAATTCTTCCTTTTCTCTCGCGATACAGGCGGGAAATTTTTGACAGCTGGACGCGATTTCATGGAATTTTCCTTCCTTTTTGTTCGATCGAGATCTCTCGCCGGTCGATCATCTTTAAGCATTAACGACGAGAGAGAGGGAGAAGGAAGAGATACGTTCTCCCGCGGAGAACGCACCGAATCGTCGGAACTGCGTCGCATACGGCAGGGGTTGGGGGAGGGAGGGGGGAGGAAGTATCGATTCTCGAGCCCGCATTCCCGCGGCGCGCGCGAATCGTCCGAACGCTCTTAATTTTCGTTCCGCGATTGATCGAAGTCGATGTCGAGACGCAGCAAATATATACATATATATTGTCTTTCTCTTAGTAGATTTTATCGTCACGTCAGAGTAATTATTTCGAAAATTTTTGCATAATTTTTCGCACATTCATAGTTTTGATATTAATCGTTATCAATGTGATGTGTTGTTTAATAATAATATTATGAATAATACTAATTGAAAGTATCTTGTGTAATTCTGATGTAGTATATAAGGATTGTTGGTTCTTTATATATGCATTTTTTTTTTGCATTTATTATATAAAATAGGAATATAAAGAGAAAGCTGAGTCCGCGTTATAAATATTAGAGACAAAAAAGAAAAATACGGCCAAAGCGCGGTAATTATAGCATCAAATGAATATGTTACATAAAATTTTGTCTCACAAGCAGAGAACGTTACATTTCGCTCTATTTTCAGATCATCTTCAATAAACCATTCAATACATAACCGCAATAATAATTATCAGGGCCAGAGATACACGAGGATGAAATGTCAAGCTTAGGAGGAAATATGTAGGAAGAGAAGAAATAAAAAAACAGGAGACACAATAGGAAAATAGATGGGAACAGGAGCTCGAACGAGCAGATTTATTTATACGATGCCGAAATATTTTGGAGATACAGAAACGGACGCTGTATTTAATTCTAAGTATAGCGAGTACTCGGAGCGTCCGACACCAATTGCGTATTCCGGTCGTTGCTACCGGTCGAAAGTACATAGCGGAAAGTTCGGTATCGTCAGCTTGGTCAGCAAATGGTTACACTTGAGCGTAAAGAGAGAGCGAGAGGGAGGAGACGGTGTCCGCCCTTCGTACAAAAGAGAGAAAGAGAACACTTCTCGATCGAACGTGGCAAAATCATCATCGCGTTACTCTTCGTTCAACGATTTTGCCCCTATTCGATTTTTCGCCGCGATTTCATCTGCGATTCTCCAAAATGTCAGTTTTTATCTCGATAGTTTATTCGTGCTCTTTATTAGCCAAATAATTGTCTATACTTTTCTCTTTTATCGCGAGCGAGTATATTTTTGTCATTTTTCAATTATATAAGAAAAATTAGTGTAAATACGAAGAGAAGATCTACTAAAGACTATTTGCGATCTATATATTTTTCGCAATTTTTCTATCTATTTATTCGTACTTTATTTTCTATTTTTTTTTTTTTCCTGTAAATTTTCTATTTTATTTTCATGCTCTTTTTCCACATCCAGTTTTATTTTGTTCACAAACGTAACGATCTTGTTAACCGTGTTTGTCGACATTTTATTATTGAGAAATTCCTAACAAGCGATAGTATTATAGTAGTATGATTCAATATATTTCTCAACGTATATTGTATCTGCAGAGTCCACACGCATACGTCTATTTATCGCATCGTTATCCGTGCAAAAAGCATTTTTCCATAATTGTTATTAATTCGATACCTACACAGAAAAAAAGGAATCCTTGATTCAAGTATATTTTTATTCTTGAACGCTATTTGATTGATTTAAGTATAGAATGCTCTTTGTAATCACAAATTTTCATTTGCCTTAATAATAAATAAGTTTGTGTAAAGTATATTTTATCCTTAAGATATATTCTTGTTTTAAAAATCGTATATGGTAAAAACAAACTTAGTCACATTTGAGCTAAGAATTATTATATTTATTTGAAAGTACCGCTTATATCCGATGCACACTTGTCACTTGTCCTTGCAATATTTATAAGTAAATTTCAGCTTTAACCAAGAATATTTTGCACTTTGTTTTAAGGATAAATTATCCTTTATCCAAAATTATTTATATTTGGTGCTATTATAAGGATAAAATATACTTGAATCAAGGCATATTTGCATTCTCTCAAGGATACTGTTTTTTCTGTGTATACATCGACATTCTCTTATAGCACTAATTATATAGAAACCATGATTAAACTTCGCATCATGATGATTATTTTCACACTTCTTTTCTTTTTTCTTTCCGTTACGTATACATTTATTTTGCAAGATTTCCGCATTACAGAGTATTCAATTTCCTTCAGTATCAATCATCAACGAATTTAATTTAATTTCTGCGAAAGTGTTACGCTCGATATGAAATATTTAAACAGATGATATATATATATATATATATATATATATTAGTGATTTTACTGTATTAATGCGAAAATTGTAACTATGATTAATCTAATTATTAATACCTTTTTTTTGCTACGACAGAAGTGTGAAAGCTAAACATAGATGCAATTGTGCGAAATGCATGTCACATTATTAGCATGAAACAGAGACGAGAAGATAACGAAAAGATAACATTTGAGATATGTTTCGCGTTGTTTGCCGCATTTGGTTCACCGCAATTTCGCGATAATACTGAAAAAAAAAAAAAAGGTTGAGTGTCAAAAGTTCGCGAGTACTCTCTCTTTAAAAATCTTCCCTCTTTCACCGCGACGTTTCTGGTGCAGCGACTACGCGTTCCGTTAAAAAGGTGCAATGTCACCTGAAAAACACGGATATCCTGTTGCCGGGATTTGATATATCCGTTACGTTCTTTTGTGCAGCAACGCGCGCGGAACATGAAAGTTCGTCGAGGAGAGAAGGAAGGAGGCGGTGGCTGCATTCGCGCCGAATGCAGATGGAAAGCGGAACGAGACGGCCGTTTCGAAGAGATTGCATTGTAATTATGCGCTTCGCGGAAAAACGCGCGACACGCGAATCCCGGTCCCGGTAGCTTTCCGTCTCGCGATTACGAATGCAAATCTGATGAATCTGGACAAGTGGAAAAAGTAATTAGCCTCAATTTAAAATGCGAATGAAACATGCCGCGTAACATTTTTCTCTCAACTTATTCACGCGCGATAACATCTCTTTAACAAACACGAACAGTATGTTACATTTTATAATGAAATGAAAGCCGTAATTTATTTATACGCTCTTTTTGTATAATAAATACAAAATTAATGTGAAATTTGTATATAAAACTAAAGAAAAAAATTGTGTGATTTTATAGATGCTTTTTTTTACATGATAAATATAAATTTAGTCTAAAATTAAATGAAAAAAGTTATATAAATATAAAATTAATTAAAATAGGTATATAAAAAACTGAAATGAATCTAGACAGCGGATTGCGCAAAGAGAATAATTGGATGACTGTATACGACTGTATGTACATCTCGCCCACAAAGTTGCGTAATTACATGTTTTTTTTTTTACGTTGTACGTAACGCTTCTCTATGGATTCGCACTTTGTTAATACAGAGAAAGCAATAACGAAGAGGGACTATCGCGATTTCCTTTCATAAATCATCGTCGCGCAGCTAATCCATCCGTATGTACGTTATCAATAAATTGTTGTCCTTGGTACTCACGTCACCTTCGCGATATCGCTCAATCATCATTTAATGACGAGTTGTCAATTGGATGAGTGCAATAAATGCGGATTCATGCGAATATAACATTTACGCCGTATTTATCACGTTGCTTTACACATCCTCGTGTAAAAATAATTCTTATTTGCGGTTTCTAAACATATAGATAAAACCTACGGAAGCGGAAGTGTCCGACAGCAAGCGTTTAATTATGATTGATAAGATTGATAAAAAATTATCGACCAATTCGTTGATATCTTATTTGTGATAGATTAATTTTTTTTATTACTTTTAATGATCTAATTTTTTTAAATTAATTTTTGCGATCCAATTTGTCTTGACAAATTCGCATAAATTAATTAAAAGAGAGGAGACATCCAACGTCTAATTATCTCATTAAAAATAATTACTTAATTGAATTTAATTTTACTTTATTATACATTGTATTATATAAAACGTAATATACCCTGCAAATAAAATAACATAAATAAAAATTAATTATCGTGTGACCGCGTTTTATGATATATACATTATCTCGCTTATTCCTAATGATGTTTACGTTGTGTAGGAAATTCAAGGCTCCGTCGCCGGACGAGAGTTATGGCCGTGGCCGAGACTGGAATGTCGACCTGATTCCTAAGTTTCTGATGGCAAATGGTCTCCTTGTCAAGCTGCTCATTCACACGGGTGTGACGCGTTACCTGGAATTCAAGTCGGTGGAGGGTTCATACGTGTACAAATCGGGTAAGATCTCCAAGGTGCCGATTGATCAGCAGGAGGCACTGTCCAGCGACCTGATGGGTCTGTTCGAGAAACGGCGGTTCCGCAGCTTCCTCATGTGGGTGCAGAATATGCAGGAGGACGATCCGAAGACGTGGGAAGGCTTTGATCCCTTCAACAACAGCATGAGCGCGCTCTACAACAAATTCAACCTCGACAAAAACACGCAGGACTTTACTGGACACGCGTTAGCGTTGTACAGGTAATAATTTATCAATTGTCCTGAGATTAAAGGAATCTTCAAAATAAACACAACATTCATTTCTGTTGTCTTTCTTTATAAGAATAAAAATCACATTTATCATCGTCAATTTTCAAAGAATGTTTGTCTTCTGATCAGGGATGACGACTATATAAGCCAAACCGCGATAATCACCATCAGGAGGATCAAGCTGTATAGCGACAGTTTAGCGCGTTATGGAAAGTCGCCGTATCTTTATCCGATGTACGGTCTGGGCGAACTTCCTCAGGGATTCGCGCGACTTAGCGCCATTTACGGCGGCACCTACATGCTGGACAAGCCGATCGACGAAATCGTCATAAAGGACGGCAAGGTAAGTGTCTCGTTATACATTTGTTGTATTTCTGTGATTAAACTCAGTCACTGAAGTCGATTGTTATTTTGCCCAGGTGGTTGGAGTCCGTTCCGGCGATGAGGTAGCTCAATGTAAACAAGTTTTTTGTGATCCTACGTACGTACCTGATCGCGTGAAAAAGGTCGGTCAGGTAATAAGATGCATATGTCTCATGGATCATCCGATTCCGAGCACGGCCGACGCGCTATCCACGCAAATCATCATTCCTCAGAAGCAGGTAATTAAACATTGCATCATCGTATTCTGATATAATCTTCTCTTTCATTTCTAAAGTTTTAAAACAATTTTTTTTTAATTTTAAGATTTAAAATACTTTACAAATTATTTACTCGTATAAGTGTAAATTTTATTATTATAATTATATTATTATAATATTATATATAATATATAATATTATATTATACATGTAATAATATAATATTTATTATTATAATATTTGTAAGAGTTTCCTACTTATTTTATATATTTAATATAAAACGCTTCGCTTTTTTTATATAGGTCGGACGCAATTCCGATATTTACGTGTCTCTTGTATCGCATACTCATCAAGTCGCAGCGAAGGGCTGGTTTATCGCTATGGTCTCGACCACGGTGGAGACGAAAAACCCGGAGGCTGAGATTAAACCCGGTCTGGATTTGCTCGGTCCGGTAAAACAGAAGTTTATCAGCATCTCTGACTACTTGGTGCCGGTGGACGACGGTCTCAACAGTCAGATATTCATATCCACTAGCTATGACGCGACCACGCATTTCGAGACCACCTGCTTAGATGTGCTCGATATATTCAAGCGCGCCACCGGCGAGGAATTCGACTTTAACAAGGTCAAGCACGAACTCGGCGATGAAGATCAGTAACCGTAATTATGGAGTGCGCACGTGCATTTTACATTATTACACCCAGGGGAAGATCGAAGCGTTCAGTGAATTCGCGTATTCGAGTAATCACTCGATGATCGCCGACATGGCATGCGACAGTGTCTCAAGGCAGATATCACGAAACAGATGTCACGCTTGCGAGCAGACCTGTGCCTAATTATGTAGGTTCTCTTTCATAGAGGATAAAAAACGAAGGTAAAGTTGACTAAATTTTCTCTCTTTCTCTGATCTACTTCGTCCTATAATTTCATCTCCTGCTGTTCCCGCGAACTCAATAATAAAGTCCTGTTCGAAAGCGACACGAATTCTCGATTACATTTATATGGGAGAACTTTCGGACTATATTTCTACGACTTCAAGCATCGGATTGTAAGATTATATCGTCTCTTGTAAATTTATATTTTACATGAAATCCAATCTGCCAATATACGTTCGAACAGAAGATAATAAAAAAAAGATAAATAAAGTTAATCTCGAGACGTCCGTGTCACTGCGTGTATACAATATATATGTATCATATTTTGATGTACCGAAATATAAGTAGGTAAAAGGTTCATCAGCAGATTACACTGTACAAAAAGGAATCTATAGGTATATCACTACATAAGAAAATACAATATTACCGTTAAGCTGACAATTGATAACGATAAAAACAACATAAGTATCATATCTGTCTAGACTAGACTTCCTCTAGATATAGACGTTTCCAGAAAATTTTGGAAATTGTGTGAATCTGGGAAAGTTTATGTTGCTGGGTGTTAATTATCTAGGTTGTTCTAAGTTGCATTTATCGAACAAGTGATTGATTAATGATTTAGTTTTATACGAATCGCCGAGAATCGCATACAAAGGTGTTCCAACGATGACTCTCCATTGTTTGTCGACTATCTAGTAAAATAATAACTAGGAATAATATAGAAATATAACGCATTATATTTCGATATATATAATTCTCACGAATGTTTCATCTCATATATTTGTCTATTCTTATTGAAGAGAGATTTATTTAGGAAACATCGAAAACGCGATTAGATATCTTCAACGTGCGTTCGAAAAACAGAATTAGGGATAGGAAAGTCGCATGTTCACATATACACTTGAGACAAAATCGATGGAAAGTGAAAGGAAAAAAAAAGATCGATATCGAAATGTTGGAACGAGGAAAAGGATATTCAAACTCTCCGGAGCGGCCAAGCATTTCACATTATATATAGATTATTATTATAGATCTATATAGTATATATTAAAAAAAAGATATGTATACATATATATATATAAAAATATGAGAAGGTGGAGTCGTTGAAATATTGTTGTTTCGTGTGAGCTTGAGATCCGGATTATTTCTTTTGCAAAATAAAAAAACATGCGGGCGTATCTTGTAATTATTATTATATCGTTACCTGATAAAAAGAGCACAAATATTTGTATAAGCTCACCGAATAAATTAACGGCAAATTAATGACAGGCGAATGTTGGAAGAAGATGTGGATTGGCCGTTTTTCACCCTTTTTGCTTGCACTTTAGAATGAGTTACTATAATGACACAACTTCACACTACGTATAAAAAAGTATAAAATACTACGTACACAAATTCTAGTGCAAAGAATGAAGAGGTATACTCAGATAACGAACATTTGTTTCGACAGCAGATACCTCTTTCGCAGTTATCCGTCAACTTGTAACACACGAGAATAGAATAGAATAAACGCTATTGTATTAATCGTGTACTTTTTGCGATTTGCCGACCAGTCTCGCTCAAAATCGTGGAATGTAAAGAATTTGTAGCGATAGTTGTACATTTTTAGTACACAAAAATTTTAATATTCTTACATCATGTCGTACACAATTTTAAAACGTAAAGATTGTTATCTCGGCATCCCAAGACAGCGAGATCGTTGTGAACAACTGGCGAGGAAAACGTTTCACCAGGAAGTTGCTTGCTCGCCAACAATTTACCTTCCGAGAGATCGAATACTTTAAGGATGCCATCCGTACACGCTATAAACATACGTCTATCTTCGCACCAAGGAGTCGCAAAAATAGACGAAGACATTTGTAATTTATATCGCAAGTTCGGTTCATTTCCTTCAGTCATCTTCCGCGGCATCTCCAAACAATACACATGTTTGTTTTGACTAGCCAAAATCACATGCTCGTTGTTTGTAAAGTCGACATTCCGTATCACGGGAAACGAAAACACATTGCCGTGTATCGCGTATCGCCACATCTGCAATAACAAAAATTTGGTTACAACAGATATCGAGCGATAGAAGAGAGAAGAGAAGCAAATAGATTTACCTGACAATCAGTTTCGATATCGAAACAACACAATACTCCAGCCACGGAACAAAATAAGACATAGCCGGTTTGAAGAACGACGGGCGCGACGAAAATCGGATTCTGCAATTTACGTTTCCACGTAATATGTCCAGAAGATTGCTCCAAAGCCACGCATGAACCATCCAGCGTCCCAAAAAGAATCAAGGTCGATTGTCGATAAAGACAACCGGTAGCACAGATCCCACCTTCACTCGCTTTAGTTTTCCATATTTGAGTACCATCCTAATTGATTTATTATATATATAATTATATAAAGATTTATAATTATATATAACTTATAGAGATATTAATTAACAGTTTCAAGTACTGATATAACATGTCTTACCTCTATCGAAAGACAATATACATAGTGATCGTAAGAACCCACAAATATTTTGCTTTTTTGCGTACATGATATCGCCGTGCATTTCACCATATCCTGCGTTTGAAATTTCCAAATTACTTGGCCAGTTTTTAAATGGACACAGTACACACACCCATCGTAACAACCTGTTAACATTTGTTGCATGTTATTTGTTAGTTAACAATTTTTTAATTGCGTCGAATCAATCAATATCAGACAATATATTTACCTACGATGCCGCGAAATTTAGCTAAGACTAAAACAGAAGCTTCTATCCTATCTGGTAACTTTATCTCGTACGATTTGTTGCTGGTTTCCAGCAAGTCAACAGTACATATAATGCCAAAATGTGAGCCAACTGTTGCATACAATTCTGTTCTAAAAATTAGTGAACACGTGTGAAAGGTGCACAATATATCTTCGCGATTAAAATATTTTTTCTCAGAATTATTCTTACTTGGAATAACGATAAATAATTGGCGAGGCATCGACGCACTTTTGCAAATTGTATGTTGCCAATACTTCAATACTCGATATATTTTCCGAGAGAGCGGTATTTTGTTTTTGCATTAACATGTTACCATAAGTTTTTCCTCTACACTTGTACCACGGCAAATTTTCTTTATTTGACAATGAGAGAGAATTAACCAACGATGATTGTCTTGTTACAGATTCTTCTGCATTAAATGTTTTTGAGAAGACTTGTCATCAGAAATTATGTCGACGCGGCAACTAACATTCTTGCTGCGATATCGTTGAATTAAAGTATCTCTAATATAACTGACGCATTCGTTGCACGTAACGTCCTTCAGTAACATACCAATTAATTCAGGAAATTCCATGTTAAAGGCATCAGCGACAGTATTCGAGATTTGAAGTGCTGCTATTGATGTACCGCCTGATGTTAAGAAACCAGTTTCTTTAGATTTTACATGATTGTTCCACAAATTTTCAAATATTTTGTCTGCATCAGCATGCAAATCATTTACACTGATCATTTCTGTTTCAGATTCTCTGCATATTGTTTTTAATGACGCGTGGCAAATCTTTCCGCTAGTGGTAAAATTAAAATCATGTAACATAATTATTTTATCAGGTTTGTAAATCGCTGGTAATATCTTCAGATGCGACATTATATCTTCCAACTTAGGAAATTCTTCTTCGATTTTTGCAGTAGATACACATAGATATAATTTGTGACTCCTTGCGTCCCAAAATGTGGCACAATTTCGTACATAATTTAATTGCAGCGCGACTTTCTCGAGTTCTCGTAAATTCACTTTATTTCCAAATCTTTTTATGATGTCATTTCGCCTCCCTTTATAAAATATTCTACCCTGATCATCTGTCTAAAAAGAAAGAAAATAAATTTTAAGCATTTTTTTATTGAAAATATTTAATTTAAAGAAAATTAAAATTATATTTTGTTAATAAAACTTACTCACTGAAACTACATCGCCAGTATTACGAAAAATTGGCTTATTTAAATCTTCGTCAATTTCATTTTCAATGATACAAATTCTATCAGTACTTCCTATAAAATATAAAAAAGAAAACAGTTTATAAAATTATATAAAATTTCACAAATATGTTTTACATCTAATTTTATATATTTCATGTAGAATTGTAATGTTAAAAACTAACCGATGTAAAGAGTGCCTTCACCTCTAGTTATCACTTCATTATCTTCATTTCTAATTTGAAATATAGTTTCTGACAATAGTTCACCCAGACAAGATTCATTTATGTTTTTGTCTTTGATGATTTCATTAATACTGGACCAACACGATATTTCAGTTATACCATAGATATTAAAGAATCGTGTTGTATTTTGCAAATGACTAGCTTTTAAAATTAATTTCATACTGGGAAATGGTTCTCCACCCAAAAGAAGAACTCTTAATTGAGAATCCTTGTCCAAGATTGTTGTCCTCAAATGTTCAGCGGACCACTTGTGAAAAAGAAGCGATGGAGTAATTTGAAGAAATGTTACATGGGCATGGCATATTTCTTCTAAGAGTCTAAAACAATAGTTTGATTTGTACATTATAACTCATTTTATTTTTTTTCATATTTTTCAAATCTATGAACAATATTTATTCACCTGCCAGTTTCATTTTTCAGTACTTTTGAAACCATGAACAGAGTTGCGGCACAAGAAAGGCTTAAGAAAATCTCAACCATACTAGGATCAAAGGTAAAATTTGTTAATTGTGCAATTTTATCAGAGTTTGTCACATAAAGGATTCTCTTCAAATCTGTAATATTAGGCAATATGCAGGAATGAGGCACTTTAACAACTTTTGGAGCCCCAGTTGAGCCTGAAGTAGCAATTGCATATGCAAAATGATACCATCTTCTATTAATGTTGTTTCCCTGGACATCTATTAATTTTGTCAAATATATTGGCTCTCCATGAATATTCAATTGATATATGATTTTTCTGCTGGATGTCACATTTTTCGTAAAAATGTAGTTCACATGTAGAGAAGTGAATATCTTTTTACGTGTCAATGGATCTGCAGGTACATTGAGAAAAGCATGTCCGCTATCAAGAGTCCTATCGAGAGATAAAAATTTCATGCAAATATTTGTAATATATATTATATATGTAATGAAATACTGATTGAATATTTATGGAAACAATATAATATTTCTCTTACCCAAGCATTAAAGAAGGAACACAATATTCTGAAATATCCAAGTCGATACCAATGAATTCAGGATGCTGTATACATTTCAAACAATTTGAAACTATTTGCTTCATCGTTTGTAATTCATTGTAACTTATAATCTTGACTTTCTCTAAATCGTGATATTCTATAGCTGTTTTGTCGAGATAAAACCAATTACATATATTATGTAGGGTTTTATGTGGACAATTTTGCTTGTCATCTTGCAATTTTAATCTTTTAGTATCATTAACTAAAAAAAATCAAGTAATGGAAATATATTAAATGCATTTAGAAATTCGTGTTGTTTTTTGTAAATATAATTATTGCGACTGATTATGTGCATATATTTACTCACTTGCACTTGTACAATTCATTGCACAGGTAAAACATTTACAGATATAACATTAAAAGTAATGTCCTTTTTATAATTATACACGTATTAATGAAATTCACGCGTGAAATTAATTTTTTAATAATAGTTTTAAATTAGAATGATAGAAAATTAAATATATTTATTCAAAGCAAGTCTTTGTTAGTCATGTTTTGATATAAAGGTTAGGAGATAGACTAGTTGGGTTCTCAACCTGATTTTACACAAGTGTATTTTTCGAATATCATATGAAAGATGTATAAGAATATAATAAAAATAATTTTTTTTATACGATACACAGAATTTAATTAGTTAATTAGTAAAATATTCTTATGGAGTTTAAAATTAATTTAATTCCTAGATTTAACTGGATATAAATTCAGTGTTGTTTTAACGATAATACAAAACTTATGACTTTGTTGGTGAAATTGCATATAATCTTGTTATTAAAATAATTTGTCAGCAATAGCTTATATAAACTTATAGTATCGGAACCTTTTTTTATTTAGAAAAAATGCTGCAAAAATGTAACTGTTTTTTTAAGGGGGAAGGACTTAAAGAGTATAGAATATGAGAAATGTTTAAAAAAATTTTCGCGTAAATTACTATAATATAAATGTATATTTAAGAGTAAATAATTGTATACACACAGATTTAAAGATACATGGAATGAAAAATTTTTTAAATAATATAAAACAATTTAACATAAAAGTAGTTGTAGGAGACTGTGATATCGAAGGATTTTTCTATAGTCTTAGTGGTTAAAAGATGAAGTTTGGAAGTATAAAACGTATATCTGACAATATAATTTACAATTATTTTATTTTTATTTAATGGAAATAAATATTAATCTATAGTAATAGAGTAGAAGTTGCTTATATAATTTTAATATTTTTACCACAATTATTTCATTCTTTTTAAAGAACTTTTCCTGCTTGTTAAGACAAAATTTGCTAAAATAATCAAGTTACTAAATTTAAATTCTAGAGATACAATGACGAATTGTGTAACACTTAAGATATATTCGTAACCACGAAATATTTGTTATTATTTTTATTTATTTTTCCTCACACCACTCGTTCTCCTTGCGCACCTGCTCTTCTTCTGAGGCAGTGAAGTCATTCTTGATGTTGAATGTTTTACGAATCTCTTCAGGTGTCTTGCCTTTGATCATATTGGCAACGGTTTTGCATGTGACATCCAAGAGACCCTTGATGTCAAGATAGTTAGCTGCTAGAATTAATTCAAAGAGAGTGCCTTGATCCACCTATGAAACAAATAATATTCATGTTTATAGCGAAATTCAACATTTTATTGTCATACCATTCTCAACCTTATATATTTTAATATTTATTTTATTCTACAATTTGTAGATTGAGTTTTGGTTCAGTTAACATTTAGATTAAGCGTAAGGACATTTCAAACAAAAGATACTTACTTTCAGGAAATCAGCATCCCATGAACTGATGTCATCAGTACGCTTCTCTTTATTCTCGTCATCCTCTGGTGGTGGGGGATCATCCTTGTGATACGTAGCCCATTGTATAACTTTTCTGAGGATAGCCGAATTAACGTTCGGCAATGGCACAACTTCCTCTTCCTCTTCATCCATACCGAGATCCTCCAACATGGTCTTGATGGTGACTGAACATTTTGCGATCTCGACGTCAACCTCAAACACCTCACCGTCAGAGCTCTGCAGCTTTATGTTAGGCATCTGTATACATAAAGGTATGGCAATATAATACTAATTATTATACACGAAATAATATAATTGTAATTTAATATTATAATCAAATTGACTTTATTATTACTTCTTCAGGATAGTGTATCGAAAGTAAATTCCATTCTTTTGATGAAATAATTAACGATAATTTAAATAATTAAATAGATAATTTAATAAAAATTTATTAAATAAAAGTAATGATTTATAATGATAATTATATATTATTAATAATAATTATAATAAAATAAAATAAAGTATGATAAATTGTTATAATATAATAATTATGAAAAACATTATATTGTTGCAATTTAAGTGTTTCTTTCAAGCGTTTATATTTGCAACAATTTTTCATAGCATAATAGAAAGTAGAAATCCGGTATTATACGAGCATGTGGATGAAAAGGAACAAAAGATAAATACACATGGTCAGAAAATGCAAACTATTAGAAAACGTGTCAGGAAAAGAAAAACACCGAAGTCATTCAGTCACAGTTGGATATTCTTTTAACTATCTGCAAGAATGCTTTTGTTGTAACGAAGAAAGCGATATATTAAGTAAACGTTCTCTTAACCTAACTTAATCTTACAACTGAAACTTCTAAAAAAAATTTATTTCTCGTGTATATTTCTAAATTTCTTCTGAGCTATAAAAAAAGAAGGGCTAGAGCTTTATAAAAAATATAATTTAATTTAAGATTTTAATTTCTGATAGCAAACAGAAAACATATACATATATATATATACATGTAACTTAAGAAAAACACGTGGTACATTTTCGAAACATGCAAAAGATTCGATTTTTTACTGGCCGTAATTGCAAAAATTTAATGTCCTTAGACGTCTATTTATATACATTGTTGTTTAACCTAATCGTACTTGTAGTACTTCGATTGTGCGTATATTATTTAATTTCATATATTACCACGTTCTATTATTCGCGTTACAAATCGCGCGTAAAGAATTTTTTACATACGCTGACGAATTTATATTATATCATCTGGATTATATTAAATCGAGAAAATCCAATGATACTTTTTGATGAAAATGGAAACCGATTCAAGCAAAGCTACTTGCCTTGAGATTCGCTCTTCCGATTCTTTTTCACGGTCTCGTTGCTTTTCGAAGCCTGCTTGGAACTGCTTTTTCAACACTCCTGATCAGAATCAGAATTCAGACTGATGAAGAAAGTCGGGTCCGTTTTCCTATTTCCGTTTATTCGACAAAGGGAAAATCAGAGGACAGTTTTCCAAGAGTTTCGATTGTGGTTCCGAAGCTATACATGTGGAATCATTCGGAACCTTTTAGCTAACTTCAGTCGGTAAAATCGCTGCGTCGATACAATTTTTTCATTAAAATTAATTTGTATTTTTATTGTTTTTTTCATTAAAAATTAAATTATAATTTTGTATATTTATAATTTATTTTTTTATATCCATATGCGTGATTTTATTTCGTTATATTTTTTTTGTATCTTTTTATAGCTTAAAAATGTTTTAGGGCAAACGTGTATTGGCGGGAACGATGACAGATGGAGCCACAAAGCAGTTTTTCATAACCTGCTAAATTCAGGCAACGTAATGTCGACGACGATTGCAATGGAGGATGATATTCAATCAAGAATATAATGTATATAAAAGGTATGTGACAAAAGATTATAATTGTAATACATATATTATATATATATAATGTTCACTGCGATATTTTTGATATAACATTTTTCCATCTAATAATAGAAAATTTTTCTTTAATTTTCTATTAATGTCGGACAAATTTTTTATATTCTTCATTTCTTCTATTTATTTTATACTCAAGAAAAATGGTTTTGTTAAGAGAAATTACGATTTTATTATATATGTATACGCAATAAAGATTTTTTTAAATCATAAAGTAAAACTATAAACTTATGAATAAATGACTATTGACTGTATTTTGTAGACATCCGATATTGCATAGAGAAATATATATAGTCATATTTTGGTCGCCTATTTTCTGATCTTGAAAATGCGCTCGACAAGTTTCTCGTGATTTCTGAAAATTTGCGAACGATAGATCGTTTAAGAAGACAAATACATATATCAAAAAGGAACGCCACGCTTGTTTCTTATTAAATTGTTATACAGACTTAAAGGTCCATAGACAAACAGAGTAATTTGAACGCATGTTTACACATGGTCCCTTTTTCGGATATATCTTATTACGTGTTGAATTTCGACAGATTCGGAAAAAATGCTCAAATAGAAATAAATTAAATAAATTAAAGTTAAATCAAACGAGTGTATACAAGTTTTATCAAATTAAAGCGTAAACTTTGCTTCTTAAAATTTCTTTAAATAGGATTAGCAATATAATAAGAATGAATAAGGTGCAAAAAAACAAATGAGAATTTATTGAATAAATCACGAAAATTTATTTTTTAGCGTTTATTGTGATTAAATGAATTTTTAATGTCCTTTATCGATGCATGAAAACCTGAATTAATTTTTTCCTCTTTCGATTTTTAATCTGTAACATCTATTTTGATTAATTGAAAATATAGTCAGATATGTCTCTTTTGAAATCATTTAATTTATATCATTTTGTCTAAAGCTCGTTTTTTTAAATTCTAAGTGAGAAACTTTTTACTATACTTATTTAAAATTTCTTAAGATAAGTATAATAAGTATAAGAGAACTGAGTTTTTATATAAATTAAATCTATGGAAATTTTTAGAATTCCTAAACATAAGAAAGCTGAAATTGAGAAGGAGCAAATCTCAACTCGGTGCGAGGCTACTTATCGTTAGAGATGATATTACTTCACATTATAATCTCTTATTAAAGCAATCTCTCGAAGAAAATAGAAATATCAGAATAAAGCTGATGTTGCATATTTTGATTTACCTGTGTTAAAAGCTTGAACTAATTCCTTTTTCTTTTTTCAAACAGATTACGTTTTTACATATAAATTTCCAGATTTATTATAAGAAAGCGTGGGACATATACATATAAATGAAAAATAATATTGTTTCAGGCATTTAGCGGAAAAATCTGAAGTACGTGTAATTATGAACTTAGTTTAATATTTTCGCTCAATATAGCAAAGAACATGTTCTCCAAAATTGCCTTAATTAAAGATTGTAACGTGAAATATATAATACCACACAATTTTCAAGCAGAATCGATCGTTCTTTTTTGCTTCTACAGGTACCGAAGTCATTGCTCTCTTTCCCGTGCGTGATTGCATTGTATTCACTTTTTTCTCGGTTTCCCCTTTCTTGGTGGAGATGGATAATGGAGTCGAAAAGGGATCAACGTGACGTCGTGATTTTTATAAGCCACATGATTACGCACAATAAGCCTCTTCGGCTCCAGGCATCTATAAAGTTCACTATTGCATGCGAAGTGAATGGCGCCAAAACCCACGCAAAACACACACACACACACACACACACACACGACAGTTAAGTCGCGAATATACGGATAGATTAACCCTCGTTCGGTCCCCCGACTTTATTAAAAAAAATGTCTCTTTTTTCCCAACTTACCCTCCCACCTTAACTTTTGCTCGATTAATAGGAATGAAGAGAACATATCGCGCGCGAGGAAGGAAAATCTTCTTTGTGCTGGACACGACAATATAAATTCAAGGTTGCGACAAACGTAGAATAAAAGCGAAAAGGGAAGAACTTATTAAAGCAGAATGCACGAAGCGAATAAAATATGCGTACTGGAATTTCTTTCAATTTTTCCGATAATCTTCACATGAAATTAATTCATAGGTGAAATAAGTACTCGAGCGAACATTTATAATCGTTGCTGATTAATTATCGGTCTTTTCCGACAAGTCTTATTATTTACACATTAATATACATTTTTTTCGATCTACACGATTTTTTATATTCAGGAAATTTCAGATGTTTCGATTTCAAAAGTAAAAAAATGCAACTAATGAAGGGAAGAGAAAGATTGAGGGAGATAGTTTTCTAGAAAAATTTAAAAGGGCGAGAAAAAAAGCTTTGCCCGATTTATACGGGAAATTCATGTTACACAGTATTATATAATTATCTCACAATTATAGTTGATAATGACAAGTTGGATTGTAGAAGGTGTTAAACTAAACAAAAGTGCTCGATCGATGGTTTCTATCGTTTAATATTTAATTATCAATAGTTGTAGAATTGCGTAAGCTGTTTTTCACATTGGCTGTTAAATCTGAAGGAAGAATAATTTTTGCAGAAAGCGTTACGATATTAATATTATATAATATTAATTAGCGGGCGTTAATTAAAGAAGCTACAAAAGTACGAGGTGGAATTTGCGCGTCACGGATTATATATGTATATTTATTATGTATTATCGACCTTTCATGCCGACTTGTTATTTCTGACATTGTAATATAGCGATTATTATTGCTTGAAACGTTTTCTTCAGCTCTCGTAGGGCAAGCTTGAGGTTTCGGTTTTTCCGTAGGAGGAATTTTTAAATAACAAAAAATTACAACGCATTTGATGTATTATGATTTGCAGGAAAGATTTAGAATCAATATTTATTGAAATTCTTAAATGCATCGTATCAATAATTTGACAGAAATATACAATATATAAATAATTACAGTTTACAACTTTCAGATTGTAAACGTTGAAGATATTGTTTTCTTCACTGAGAAAAAATTGTTTATATTTTTGTTTAAACATATGCAGTATAAACAAAAGTATGACATCTTGATTTGATTAATTATGTCATTGAATTAACAAATCAACTGTATATGTTTGTGGCAGCCCGTGACGTCGACGTTCAATTGAATCAATAACATTTTTTTCTCTGTGTTTGCTTTCCAAATTAATTCAACATATTTTTTCTAATCATTCACGAATGAAAATGTGTCTATCTAAATTTTATGTAGAAATTTGAGTATTTCTTTTTTATCGAACACTATTTGATCGGATTTTTTGCAACACTTGCCGCAAGATATGAGCAGACGCCAAATCAAACAAGCTTTAATTTCAGAAAAAGGTTTATCTTTGGAATTAATGCGGATAACGTTGGTGATATGTTAGTCGCCGTATATAACTAATTAAATCTTTTAAAAGTACTTTGAAACCGTCCAGGTTTTTTCTGTCCTCTCGTGGAAGAGTAATATTCGTCTCGTGTCTTCGAGCGACGTCTTAATTTTCTTCGCAAACGGTGAATCGACTAAATGTAACGTGTCTGAAAAAATCTAACGACGTTGCGGGAATTTAGCATAGAAATTATGAAGTTGGCATGCAAGTTTCGTAACTCCTACCGGATAGGAGAGGAAAAAGACAAGCAATTTAATTCCTCTTCAAGAGAAATATTCTTCGTGCATCAAGCGCATATCTGTACGAAAGATGAAAGATATTTCCGAAAGTTTGAGGACAAAGAAAAATCATGCGATATTTCCCGAATACACTTATCTATCGTCATTTCGAAACAATTCTATCGTCATACAATGTCCTGATGTTCTCGAGTCGAAATTTTGCTCCTATTTTCAATCTCAATTTTCTCACAGAGATTCTAGAGAATTTCGATAGATGTAATTTATACAGGATGATTTATTAAATGCACAACAATACTTTAGAAGGTAAATGTACACAGTAAAATAAGTATAGGAAATGTGATTTGAACATAAATCATATACTATGGTTTCTGAGTTATAGAAGATTAAAGGAAATGCTCGAACTGTGGTGCTTTATATATTACATCATATATGTTGTATCATATGTACATATATGTTTTATGATGCGTCTTTATATAATACAATGAGTTCCTATAATTCCCTGGAAAATAACAAATATTGTTCGAATTGTTTTGAATCCATTTTATGTCACTTGTTGCAAATTGTGAACGTAACTAATTTGCATAGCGTATATGATAGATTTAAAATTTTTTAGATTTTTTAATTTTAAATAATCGCAAAAATAAAATTGGCCTAAAGGGTTTATATTATAATGAAATTATCATCATGCTGTGGATCTTTGCCCTATCGAACTGGGAAGAAGTTATTTAAAAATATTCGAATTGCAACAAGGAAATACCCTCGAGCATTTTCTTTAATCTTCCATAACTCAGAAACCATGTACGACTTATGTCTAAATAACATTTCTTATTTGTTTTAATGTGTACATTCATTCCCTGATGTATTTATAAATAATTCCATATATATACAAATTGAAATAGCACTTTTTGCCTCAAGTAGGCAATAAACAAACAATTTACTGTTTACTTACAAAACAGGATAAAATTATAAGTTAAATAGTTTTAAGAGAGATTGATCTGATGACTGTGTATGTGTGTGTGCTTAAAATATCAAAGTTAATGTTAAATTGAAAATTATAGTTAAAAGTAGAGGAGTAAAATTGTAATTGGGTAAAATAAACGGCATTGATAATGAAAAGATATCTATATAATAGATATATTTATTTTATTAATATTAATAAATAGATATATTTATTTTACAAAAGAAAAATATGCAATTTAATTTTTAAATTACTCATGTTCATTTGCATTTACACAAATTGAAAAAAAATCATTAAGAATTTATCAAAAAGTTATCGCTATCGTTTAGAAATTAGTGAGAAAGCTAAAATGATAGAATTAAAATAAGTTGATATAATATTTTAAATATATATATATATATATATATATATATATGTACGATTTAATTTTACAGTCACATCAATGATGTGCATTTATAAAACGATCGATCTATCTCAGAATGCAATTACACAGTTCGCATAAAAACAAGTTAAGCGTGTCCGAGTGGTACATTGTAAAGTACCAGAGTTTCTCTTTGAGTACACCCTTTCTTGAATAATTATGATAAAAATTATTCAAACGATGTTTCGTTAATCAGATCGCAAGCGTTAATTTCTAAAATGCCTGCCGGCGATTGTAGCGAATCGGGAAAAGGATACGAATGCTTTGAGAAGTCGTATTCATCATTATGAAGATAAACGTCTTTATGTAACGATCTCGATGTGATGAATACTGAATATAAGCTTTCGACCTTAGGAACGAAGGCGCCGCGAAGTCTATCTCCCGTCTCCGGTCGTCGCGCACACAATTCGCTCTATCGGTGTATTCGACCTTTATCTGTTATATATTAATCTCTTAAGATATATAAAAAAAGAGAATTAAATATAATATGAAAAATTTAAAGGCTAAAAATAGAATTATAATTGCACATATCTCATATTCTCATATAATTATACAACGCAATTAACTAAAAATTAATTCGGAAAGTTAATGACTAAACTAATTTTTTTATTTTTCATCGCAAATTTCAGTTTAATATTTATTTTGATATCTACTTAAAAAAACTTGATATCTATTTAAGCAGACAGATTATTCTTTTGTGAAATTATCACTTATATCATTTCAAAAGCTTTTTTTGAAAATCTTGAACAAGGAAACTATTTGTTTATTTTCTGTTTTGAGGTACAAAGTAAGAGCTCAATTTTTATATAAATTAAATTTGTCAAACTAAAAATTAAGATTAAAAATGGCAGTAAAGTGTCGATTCAGAAATTATTTTTATTGCATCAATTATGACAATTATAATATTAGAAATCAATAATGAAGATATCGTAAAATAATTTCGATTATTTTTCTTAGCTTCTTTTCGTAGAATAAATTATTTAATTTTTAGGAGAGAGATTTCTATCTCTTTCTCTTTAGTAATGAAAATTATGATTGTTATGTTTATAGAAAAAATTCTTGTTATATTTTTATCCGTCATAATGTAGTGACAGAATTATTCCATTGGCAAAAATAACAAAAATTTAATAAAACGAATTAAGAATGAGTTATCCAACAAGGGTATAAAATAATCAAGAATGATTGATTCATATATAATCAATAAGTCATAAGCTTTTCAATCTGATCTGTGTAAACAGTCTTAATTGTGAAATAACATCTATGAATCATCTTACATAACGAATCATGCCATGCATTTTATCCCAATATATTTTATGGACGAAATTATTATTATATATATATTTATATATTCGCGAATGCACATAAAATAATCTTATATATTTAATTAATTAAGTAAAAATAAGTAATTAACTAAAAGTATATATTACTTTTGAGATGCTTTATTTGCGAAAAATGTGAATTAATGAAAATATTACGCGATTTTAGAAATATTAACACGAATATTATGTGTGTTTGAAAACACTTAATATCAAATTAGTCTTCTATATCAATTATTTACTTCGAAGAAGAAGTCCAATCCAATAATAAGATAAGATAGAAATTGGGATAGAAATATTTTGACAATCTGACCTTTCATCGATATTGTCTTGCACTTTTATCCTCTACATCTTTCTTTGGAACATTAATATGTCATTATAAAAGATACATGCCAAAGTTGCCTCAGCATTCTCGATAAATATACAGTAATATAAATTATACATTCGGCGCGCATTTTTCTGAAATTGCACTGTCCCTCGAGTAGTTTCGTGCGTTCGCATGTACCACTTGTCAGAGCATACACTTATCTATACTACTTTTTCCGATACCAAACAACGTAGACAAACTGTGGAATCGATTTTTCGCATCACATCGACACTTGCCAAGTTTCGCCTGTGCTTTTTGACACAGAAGCGTCGCGAATTATTAATTGATCCTCGCGACTGAATAACCGCGTCTTGATTTTCGAAAGAATTGTGAGGATCATCTTCGAGGACAATCAGAATGTTATTATATCGAGGGATCACGATTTATTGTTGAAGTTTCCGGGTATTTTCATCCCAGCGAGGACGAAGATACGTTTACACGATATAAAATTCTCATGACATTCTAACAATAAGCTCTTACTTACACAAGAGATGGTATTACAAGATACGTTGACAAAATTAAAAAAGAATGCGAGCGCGCTCTTCTTTTCAATCTTTCGCGTACATTGTGAAATCAATGTTTGCTTGTACGTACGGTCGTATAAATCTTATAACAGGTGTAAGATTCTCCGAAAAATTACGATTCCTAAGAATCATCTTTTACGTTTTGATAGATAATAGTGTTGCTGATGCGTGGGCAATATTTGGCATATTAATTGCATCAAATGTCTTTTTGCGTATCAGCTTTTATGCCGATGAAATGTACAGTTTAAACAGATCGATGTTGATCTCTATCCCAATGTTTATCCTCAACTTTTATGTTTGTATCTTGCAGTGACGTGCGCGCGTCTCTTAATGTCAGTTTAATTTCGACAAGTAAAGAACCGTGTAATTATTTATACCGTGTAATTATATATATATTAACAGAATTGAAAAATGTAAATACAATTTTTAATATTTCTTCTTTCGAGATGAAAGTAAAGTTATAAAGATGTTAGAAGGGAAGTTCATATCAAAGAAATGAGTTTTTGAAAAACTCCTTTAAAAAACCTGTTCTTTTCTGTTTATAAAACTATTATAATTATTTATATATTTTGTAAAGTAACAGTAAAAGAAGATAATCTTATTCAAATCTTAATTAAAATCTTATTGTGTAGTTAACAAATAACTATATTTTTCTGAACAATTTTTGAATATTCATGAAAGATATGTAATATACATAGAGATTTTCAAATATTAAAAATATTTATAAATGTTGAAGGAAGAGAAAAAATTGTACAAGATTTTTTGAAATAAAACAGTTTCTTCTACTTCATTAAAGGGTTGAAATCATGAATAAAAAAAACTTGTCCTTTTTAGCTATATTTTCAATACATATTCTAATCACAAGAATCGAAAATATCAAGGTAAAAAGTGAGAGATGCATAAAAAGAAAAAAAAACCCAAATTACCCAGTATGTTTTTTATAAAAAACATTTGTTAAAATAAGTAATTTTATAAAATAAACTAATTAATTAGAAAAGTCTATATAATACATCCAAGTTTTTGACAATTATGCATTACAAACAAACATTACAAAAATATATACCGCTCGTAATACGAAGATTATAAAAATTGTCTTCCTATGAGGGCATTAGGTTATTTATAAGCCAGGTTCCGGCGAAGAAGTAGAAAATCCGCTCTCGCAATCTCAACCAGCTTCATCTCTCCATCCCGGTCGCAACTTTTCATTCAGTTTCGCGCCAAAAAAATTTACCCCTTCTCCTTTCATCCCTTTCTCTCTTTATTTTCTGGGTGGAGACCGCAACGGATGATGACGTAATAAGAATACGGGGCCAGGATACGCACTCTCCAACGAGCATAGGAGGAACGCGTTCGTCCACCGGCGACGGTGGTGGTGGAGAGATGCGTGGCGCCCACCACAGGGAGCCTGATCCGCTCTTGCTCTCGAACGAAGAACGAAAAGGGGGTTGGAAGGGTCAGGGGGATGAGACAGCGGTATAAATGTAGCCCGCGCGAGTTCCACCAATCATTCGCCCTCTGACCTCGAAACTCTCGGAGCTCTTTAGTCTCTCCCCAACTTGTTTGGCGGTACACCCGAGAGAGATACGTAGCCCCCTGCTACCAAAAAGTCTCCCTTGTGACGCGATCCGCGCCTCGTGCGAGGAAGAGAACGGTACCAAGCTACGAAACGGACGCGGGACCAGTGTTACGTGGTTATATATAGCGAGGGCCAGCAGAGCGGCAAGTTCCCTTATCGAGATGACGATCGTGAGTATCTGCTTTTTTTTCTTCCCGAGCTTTGTATTCGCGTCTCTCCCGCAAATATATTGTATATGAAACGCGCGCGCAGGGATGATATAGTTTATGGATTTTGTTCTTGCGGAGATATTCGGCGTATTCCGCGTGCATCGGGGACGCGATTTTTCTTATTATTTTTTTTTTTTACAGTAAAATTAAGCGAGGAAGAATTTATAAAATAGAAAATTAAGGAAAATGATAGACTTCTGGGAGACGAGGGATTTTAACGCGAGATGTAAAAAACTATTTATTTGAAAAACCGCCAACATATTTTTTTAATTATTAGAAAATTTTAAGCGCGCGGCTAAAACAATCGCGATAATAATATAAGCGAATTTAGTGCGACAAGACATTAGGTTTTTATAGCGCGAACGACGTGTTTATGAGAGATTAATCGATCGCGTAATACAAACTGGATGCAAATTATTCGTTCGCGGGTTTCAATTCGTTCGTTTTCGCCGGTTTTTAGTTTTATATCCGGAAGAGTGTAATTGAAACCGGAGGCGGGAAAGTGCCTCCCTCATTTTCTGCAGATGCACTGCTACGATTACGTATATAACAGCAACACACATACGAGTCCCCGTGAAATTTTCGAATTACCGTCCTTCGAGACCCCAACTCGATAATAGCGAGTAAATCGATCGTTTCGAGTTACTTTTGCGAATTACTTCTACGAGAGAGAGAGAGAGAGAGAGAGAGAGAGAGAGAGAGAGAGAGAGTATTTTCGTAGATAAAATAGTTTTCATTTTTCAAACTCGAATAAATTCCTCGCAATTATGTAAATATTTACCTAAATATTTGTCGCAATGGAGAACACCGTATGTCGAAATGTCACTTTTTCATGCATTTTTTACGCATACTTGTTAGATTGACATTTCTGAATAAATAAAAAATTTTGCGATAGAAATACTATCATTACGTGCACGATCCCTTTAAATCAAAGCAAACATTTTCAAGTGATTTCAGTGTAAATCTTTTTTTTTTTTTTTTACGTTGCACATTTGCAACTCGAAAGAGAGATACGTACATTAAAATGATTCTATCGCACAGAGTTCTCGATACTTTTTTTAAGGATTGCATTACGTCAAAGGGAGAACTCGACAGACATAAAATGGATGTTGATTGGACGAGACTTCTGACAATATACGTCAACTGCATTCGCAGCAACAGTTTGTCGAATAGACTGCACATTTGACATTTCATCGTCACTTTAGCAATGTCCCATGATATTTGAAATGTTACATTGTCAAGGCATCGCAATTTGTTCAACTCATTTAAAAACTATGAATCACGGCCAATTAGCATATATCATATTAGTACTATATAATAAAAAAAACTGAAAAGAATATATTATTTGTAATTACAGTTGAAACCCTTTTAAAAATATGCGACAAAAGTATGTATGTATGTGTAAATATTATTTGCACAGGGTGTTTTGTAAGTTGAGAAATCCATCCATTTTAAAAATGAATTTAGCAGTTAACAAAAAGTTTATAAACGTGTGTCCGATTTGATTTTATTCTCAAGTTATGGGCAGTTTTATACTTTAGCGATCTGTATCAGCTCTCTCATCTTCACAAAAAGTGCTAAAAATGACAGCCTGCATATAAATGTACGTCAGTAAAACGTTTTAACATATATTGTTAACATTGATTTTCTAATTCACTCGAATCTTTTAAGTGGAAGATTCTTCAACTTTGTTCAGTTTCTTGGCAAAGTATTTCAATATTGTCAATGAACGTTCTATAGACAATATATGTATATATCAAGTATTTCATTAACTCTGTTACGTGCCACTTTCTAACTATTGAAGATATTAAAATTGTTCTTAATTTGATCAAATAAAGATAAATAATTTTGTCAAATACTTCTTTATACTTTGTAATAAATAAAATTTTTAATTCGTTGTAAGGAAAACAAAATAAGTTGGACTATAAAATTTTAAACAAAATACAATAATTAAATTTTTATATGTTTTTAAATATTTTATCAATTCGAATTTCAAAGCATTTTGAATTATAATGTATACGTCGACAATTACAAAGACTTGAAATATAAGTATAAAAACGCGTTTATTTTGTTATAATTAAATGTTTAAAAGTTAACAAAAATTAATCTTTAAACTTTTAAATTAAATCTTTAAATGTTTAATTTAATTAAGTTAACTTTAAATATTTACTGAAATTAATTTATTTAGAATGCCATAATTTTAATTAAAACAACATTAAGAGTTTGACAATATTGTCGCGTAATATTTCAAGTCTATGTAATTGCTGATGTTTACTTTATTATTAAAAATTCTTCCAAAAAATATTATCAGATTAATATAGAATTTTCAAAAACACGTATAAGAATTTAAACATTGTTTCATTAAAATGTTGCAGTTGCTATTTTTTTTCTCTTTGCAAATTATAAATTTGTTTACTACCGAATATGAAAGAGCTTTTTGATGAAATTTAAAGAAAAGTTCTTCAATAAAGTAATTTTTAGAAGATAGCGGGAATTAATAAGCATCTTTTATATATACACAACACAAATTTATCTTTATGTATATACATGATATTTAAAAAATTACATTGTACCTATATTAATTATTAGATCAATCGAGTTAATTCATCTATAACAGAGAAATTGAATATTAATTAAAAGAGAAGGCTCGAGGGGTTAAAAAATCGAAATTAACGAGAAAGAGCAGATCAGCCGTAGCAGGATGTTCGAGCTAATAAACAAATATAGTGAAGCAATCATGTAAAAAAAAACAGAATGATAATGGAATAAAAGTATAATCATGTTTAACCATATTATATATATATATTTGTTTATTAGCACGAATATAATGCTATGGCTCGTCTGCCTTTTCTCGCTAAATTCGATTGAATATTAATTGATTAAATTATTTATAAATTTATTCAAATTTTGACTATTTTAATTAAACAAGTCATTTATAAATTTATTTCTAATGTTGTCGAGAGAAAGAGAAGTCATTAATAAAAATGTCAAACATTTTGCAACAGATCCGACGTGTTTATCGTAAAAATCTTCTTTTGTTGTCGGTATTTCTTGACCGCGTATATCGAAACGACAGCGAGTTAGTTTTGCGAGTTTAGATATCGCGTGTGTATATATTTCCGACCGGAACGAGCCATATCAAAGGGCAAATGTAACCGTGGTGGTGATGCTGGAGACATTATGTCTAGTCCGAGTAGTCGCCAGAGAGTGCATAAAGTTTCTTTACTCGCTGCCAGTTAGCGGGTAGACGTTTATATATATATATATATATATATATATATATATATAGGCGACCGTGAACGGGACAACGTTACGAGATCTTACGAGAGGTGCCCTCGTTATTTTCTCTCGTCGGCTAAATATTATTTTATGAGAATAATTCCCCGGGCGCATTAATCCCTCCTAATCGCGGAGCGTTTCTCTCTCATACGATATACATATATCAAAAATGGAAATTATATTACCGTTAGATATCGCGATATGAAGGGTAACGAATGCATCATAACGACAAATAAAACTGATCTCGCGATTTCACACGTGACGTAATCTTCCTTGACGTTTTATCTCTCGGTTGGTGCGGCAAAAAAGAAACTAAGGGAATAATAACGTCGAAAGACGTTATATATTTCAGAAAATAGCGGCATGACGATTCGACTGACCGACTTTTAAGGGAAAACAATTCCGGATCGAATATAAGGGAAGAGTGTAAAAGACATTTACGCCCCCGGTCTCTGAAAGAAACCGTTCTCTTTCTCTCTCTCAAGAGTCCTACCACGTGGCTTGTCTAAAGTTCGACGATAATCCGCGAGATAATCCTCCATCAGCAACGGAACGAGAAAACGCTCGGTCGAGGGACAATGGATTCGCTTGGGTAACCCTTTATCGCTCATAATCGCGAGAAAGCTTCGACCGGGAAAGGACGAGAGAAAGATATATCGTTCGATGTAATTGATGAATTGGAGAGACGGAAGACACCCGTACGCTGTCACGCTTCCGATCGCGCGCGATACCGATAACGTCGAGAGAAAAAGAAAAGTAATGAATCGACGCGGGATATGATCGGAAGATCGGCAACGATCGAGGAGGATATGCGACGCGAAGGATGCGTGGGTAGGGAATGACGCTTTTTGTGTGCCACCAGACGAAGAGACGCCAGGACGTCCCATATCCGAGCGTGACTCTCCCTCTTTCCTACGTTTTCCGCGTGGGGTGCGAAAGCACCCTCTCCTCTTTTTCCCTTCTACCCCTTCTTTTTCTTCCTCTCTTTCGCGATGTGTACCGTTTGGTCTCCACCTCGTTTTCTTCGATGCGACGCGACGGTGCTCGTAAACGCGTATCATTAGCTCACTAATGAAGCTACGATATCGAACAAATAACGCAATTACGCGGCCAAAGTGTCGGATTATCGAAAGAAAGTTCAATTATATAAGATGTTTCAGAACTGCCGGACAAATTTGTCATGTCTCTCGTATTATTCGGAGACGATTTTTCCTTAGTGGAAATGTTGAGGGAGACCCATCATTTTTTAGCATGTTCTCAATTTTTGTTATATTATGTATCTTTGTAACTAGGCCTTATATTAAAATTCTATTAAAGCGAACTTTGTCTAAAATTAACTTCATCAACTGCTTATAATTCGAAAATGATTGGTGTCTCGACATTTTCGCTGAGGAAAAATCGTTTCCGAGTGACACCAGGAATCTGCCATTAAAAACTTTTCCGCCAGTTTTGAAACACCCTGCATATGAATGTAAAAAAGTGTGCGTTGAAAGGATTTTGTCTCTTTTCTCTCCTTTCTCCTGGCTCCTTTATTCACTGTCAGGATGCAGGATGTTAGATGAGCCGTGCATATTCTCTGGCAAAGATAGAGTTCTTGAGTACAAGTTCTTATTTTTCACATTTTACTTTTGCAAATATGGAAAATATAAAATTGGATTCAGAATATAAAGCAAAGTTGAGTT